TAGCGAGAGAGCGAGCCGAACAGCTGATTCAGTGCCGGTATCTCGTGAATGCGATTTCTTTAGCGCGACGAGTGCGCGCGTCCGTGTGTGCTGCCCCGTACATTGTGTGCGTGCGGGCTGTCGTATGTGTGCGTTGTTGCATGTGCGCGCGCCTCTTGCATTATTGGAGGTGCGTAGCGCGCTTGTGTGTTCGTAGTTTTGAATTGAACTCGTATAAAAAGTGTGTGTGTATAGTGCGTGAGTGTGTGTGCTTTCGAAGAGGTTTCAATTTTCAACTTTCAATGATTCGAGTGTTTTATTCACAGTCGTCACGCGCATATTATTGTGCACATGAGTGATGAAGTCCCCGCATTCCGCGTATCAACGCTTTAGTGTTCAATTCAAAATCACGTAATATACGAGGCCGAAAAAAGAAGCTTTAATTTAATATATTTGTCTCTCGAGCTGATATTACTCGCGCTGTATAAATAAATGATTAAACATTTATTTTCTTTTTTCTCGACGTTCGAGGGTTTTTGACCCGAAAGAGGTATCTTTACTGCACTTTATTATTGTTGCACTCGAAAACATTCAAGGACTTAAACGGCTCGTACAGGAGAGTTGCAGAATGTAATATTCATACGCCAAGTGCATCGCGGCGCTTCTGTATCCGATACACTCCACGCGATACGTCTCCATTTTTTGCACTGTAGACAAGTATAGCACGTCGCGTAAGATTTTTCTTCTTTCTCGATTGTCACGACGCAGCAAATTCTGATGACTCACGCGTGCGCGCTCTCGTATAATTCCTGTAATACATGAAAAAAAAGTTCGCCTATCGCCCAGTCGGCCACCACAGCTCACTTCATTTCTCGTTCTCTGTCTCTCACCTTTACATCTCACTGTGTTTTGACTACATCATATACAGCAGTGCTGCAGTTCAAAATCTAATATGGCCGAATTTCCGAGAATCTTGTCACTCGTAAATACTCTAGTAATGGTGTCGCGAATCAATCCACGATATTAGATTTACGTAGCTGTTTACCGTGTGCGGTCACTATTCGTGCAGCTCCGTAAACTTGTTCTCTCGGAAGCGTCTGCTAGACATCCTCTTATGGACACAATAGCACAGTTGCAGCGCTTGGAGTAGCAGCCACACCAGTGGCGGCTTTTCTTCGCGTTGTTGTAATACAACCTTCTAGGCATTATTTCCATTATATCTGCGTGAACCGTACACTTTCACAGTCGTTCGATATCTTTCGAGCGTGTATCATCTTTCGTAATGTAGCCACCAGTGCCGTGAACAGTTTTTCGGCGCCAGGAGTTCTATCTCATAGACGCCTGTGCGGCAGTCTTGGACTCGTACAGTGCAGATAATTGAAATACCTTCCGAGTTCGGGTGTATTTTGTTGCTTATAAACATAAAATGGTGTTGCTTATCAACGGTGTGTCCCGAAGGAGGCGACCTTGGTTAAAGAGGTCGGCGCCTTCTCAAGGCAAGATCGTGAGTATATTGGTACTTTTCAATTTTTGATTTATAAAAACAAGTTCACTGCCACCGAGAAAGAGATAGATAGAGAGATGATAGGTGTTGGATCTTTAATCGGACGGTGGCAAGTTGTATGAAAACTGCCAACAGTTGGCGTGCGCGCTCGTGTTTATCTACATATAATATACGATATATATAACTACAGACGGCGGCGAGTGGCGAAGCTCGACTGAATAGACAGCTCCACTGCGCCAGAAGTTCACTCTCGTGCTGCCGACCTCCCTCTCCGCGCGCTGTGCTTCCTATATGTATATATATATATGGACGCATCCCTTCCATTTCGCAAAGTGTATCGCGTGCGCGGCGTACGTGTATATACCGACTTTAACGAACATAGGTATATAACGTAAGGTTAATGTAACGTAGGATTATAGACTATGTGCGCTCTCGCCTTTTTCCGAGCCTCGTATAATATGTACACTTTTGCGCGCGACTCTCTCCCCGCGCACTCGACGAGGCACCCCTTTGACGAAGCTCAAAAGTTTTTTGCTGTAAAATCGTGCAATTTTTTTTACTGCACTTTCGTTCGTATAATTGAAGTTTTTTAATTTATAACTATATAGAAATGCAATTAAATTTTTTTTCTAGTTTTTTTTTACTTTTACTTTTATAATTTTGTTTATAATTGATTCGTAAGATGTATTTTTTCTGTCTCTATTGCTTGACGTGCCAGAAAACGAAGCCCCGGCGAGTCTTCTAGTGGTCGCTCACCCACTTTTTCTCATTTGTATAATAGCAATATCGTTCACGCTTCAACTTCCAACGTGATCGTTATCTCTCGGACGGATTTTGCGCTATACGTATTTAATGCGCGCGTGTGTATGTGAGTAAGCTCGCGCTCGCTCGAATATGTATACGGCTGAGAAAGTACAAAGTATCTCTATATATGTATTTATGTATGTGCGTAAATATGTGTGTGTGTGTGTGTGTGTGTGCGTTTGTGACGCACATCATAATCGTCTACGTGGCTACGTGTATTATACTTGTCGAACATATTCACAAAATATATATGTAATGTATAATGTACATAGATGCGTATATGTAATTCATCACGTGCCCGCGTGTGTAAGCGTCGCGAGCCACTTCGTGCATTCACTCGTTTTTGCCATTCGCACTCGGTTTATACAATATATATAATATCGTCAACCATTCGCCACCATCGGATTTCACGGATATGGTATAATTTTTTCCTTTACTTCCTTTTTTTTCTCCTTACTCGAAAGTATACCTGCATCACGTTACACCGTGATCGACGTCGTGACGAAGTCTCGTTGCGGCTACACAAGGCATTGGCTGCTCTTTTCGATCATGTTAGCTCTTATGGCTGGATACCCTCAATAATTCACTGACTTTTCCTCGTAAAGAATGAAAAGCTCACGGTGTCTGCATATATACGGCGAGAAGCTGCCGCACTCTAATCTCGCCCTTATCGCGGTATATCTATATGCATTGTAGGGTATATGGGGTTGGCTTTCTCTCTCTCTTTCTCTTTCACACTCGCTCTCTCACTCTGTCTTGACGCGCAGTATTGATTTTCTGCAGAGAATTTACCTGCGTGCGTACATGAGTGGGAAATCTGGTGCAAGTTTAACTGTTCATTTGTTCAGTCTCGCGCGCGCGTTAGCCCCTGCACACCCACGCACCCAAGAAATATGTGCAGCTCAGGTCTTTTAATTTTCCATTAGCGAGTAGCAAGTCGTGTATTCATTGTCTTCTAGTTAGACTTGACATCTGACACATAACAGAATTATGTCGGAATTATATCATTGAAAAAGAAACCCACTCGATTTCGAGAAAATTCGATGATGCATGCGCCCATCATGCGGATAATCGAATAGTCGACGTATTATACGTTACACGCGCACACATACACCTAGCCGATATGTATACGTTTGCAAGCGACCGCGAAGAAGCGTCGAGTACATAATTGTGCACGAACATGCCTGTGCGCGCCTTTCTTTTCTCTCTGCCCCTTCTTCCACTTGTTCTCTTTGGCGTTCGAAGTCTCTTGTGCAGTTTTACGATCTGATTATCGTTTTACTTTAACCGTCGCGTATTTTTTTTTGCCGTTCAACGGACAAAATATACGCGCAGGCAGGAGGAAATAGAAAGTTTACCGTTTTCGTCAGGGCTACGAATCTTATGCATTATTGTCGGCGACGCGGCGTCCATCACCCCAGCCGCTTTCGGGTTAAAATTCAGCGTCAGAATCGACTTTGTTAAACACGTAATATACGTAGCTTATGTAGCGTAGGAGAAGTCACCTTGTATAATTATTATTATATTGTTGATATGTAGATCACTGCGGCAGCCAAGCTTATAATATGTACACACGATAGTTATTGACGTGTATTAAAAGGCACGCAGTCAACGAGCCGCCCCTGCGCGCCTTTACTTTACATGCATGATTTTCAACGATTATTGAATGCTCGTATACGGTAAACGCGTTATAGCTATACGAAAACGTTTTAAAAGCAGTTCAGCAAAGCCTCCGAATCGCATAATGACCGAAGCAAAAAATTCCTCGATAATAATAATGGATATGCGTGACGCTTGTGCGTTCTGTATGCACATATGTCTATATCTATATGAGCGTATGTGAAGTTTACTGGCTCGGCGCATTTATCCGCATCCCTGTATTTTCTCTTGGATCTGGATATATAATACGCCAAGCTCTCTCTCTCTCTCTCTCTCTCTCCCACCCCCACTTTTTTCATTCTGACGAGAGAAAGAGAGAGAGAGAGAGAGAACAGTACAATATATACATATAACTCTCTCTCTCTCTCTCTCACCTCCATTTTGTCGCACATCTCTTGCGCCGGTAGCAAAGCTAGCTGTGCTGCTGCTGCTGCCAATAGCAGTACTCGCTCAAAGCAAAACTGAAACCTCAAATTGCCCGAGAGTGAATGAGAGCGACAGAGACGGAAGGTGCATTTAGAAGCAAAGTAGACGATGTCTTGGATGAGAAAAAGAAGAAAGTTCAGCGAATCGGCCCTGGCTGTGGGGCTGATTTTTTAATGGGCTTTTCGTAAGTTTCATATAAACCTCGTATCGTCAATTGACTTAGTAATCTGTCGCCGAGCGGCTCTGGGGCGGCCGGGGGCTACTGGAGACCCTGAAAGTTCCTATACTCGTCGGTTTTGATAATCCTTATGGGTGCGGACATAACCTCAGTTTAAAGAGAGAGAGAGAGAGAGAGAATGAGAGTGAGATAGAGATAGAGAGAGTTGATAGTGGGAGAAAGAAGTTGCTATGATATTACTTTTACAATATCTTTGGGATTTGATAAATTCTTTTTAAAACCAAGTGGGAATATGAGTTCAACAGATCTACTTTTTTGTATGAACATTGATACTTTATTATACTTTGAATGATGAATGGTGAATGTTCTCTGTGTTTACTCAATATATATTTGTACCAATGTCAATAGATTATACATTTCTAACTTATTTCCTTTTTGTATTAATTACAGATGTCTGCTGGAGCTCAATTACAGATGGCACCCCAAACAACAGCTAATTCTGGTCAGTCAATTCTTAGTCAAGACTCAAACATGAGCACTGGTGAATATTACTTGAATATTATTGCTTTTATTAAAAAAAGATAGTTTAAAAAAATAAAAGTAAACAAATTTTTATGGCACTTTTTTTGCAAACATGAAAAATAAATCAATTATATTCCATCAGGGAATGCTTGAATGTTTCCTGTCAATACCATAAATTCATATGATAAACATTGTAAGTAACTGTTTATTAAAATTATTTTTTTTTATTAGGCTCGTCGCACAGCGACAAGGAAGCAGATCCTAATACTCCTGAAAAGGTACCTAGAACCATTACAGAAAGAAAGAGGAAACGCAAAGCGGATGACACTGGAAGTGGTCCTGGTCCAACGACAAAAGGAGCCAGATCTGCTGCTGGTATAGATAACAAAAAAATTAATGAATATTTTCCAAAACATCATGTTGGAAATAGTCCTATAAGGCATGGAGGTGCCAAAAGTCCTTCGCCACAACAGTCATATTCCATGGTGAGTCTTTTTAACAATTTATTGATATGTATTTAATTGGGCTAGGTAACTAGTTTTGTAATAAACAATTCTCAAACAGTTCCCACCACCACAATTAATACCACCCCAACAGCTTGTACCACCTCAACAAGCATCGACTGGCTCAGGGGTGGTATCTGCAACTTCTAATGTTGGTGGCTCTACGTCAGGTGCCCCTTCAAATCGCGAACCAACGACTCCGACGACGACGACCGGTAACGCGTTAGGTACGAGTGCCTCTGCGGTTTCAGGATCGGAATTCCTGCAACCACAGAGGCCTGCTGCACTTACGTCGTCTACGAGTCCCACGTCGACGACTGGCAATGCCACCGCACCAGTAACAAGTGCAACCAACACGACAGCAGCTTCGACAGCAGCAGTAGCTGCTGCGAGTGCGTCAATGGTTAGCAAAACGGTGCAGGTAAGGTCAGCCAATCTACCTAGGACGGGTCAGGTCAGGCAGCAGAAGAACACCACTCCAAATGTAAGCGTAAACAATATAAATCAATGTTTTTTTTTGCTTTTGTGGTGTCCATAGAATTTTTAGATTATTCGGTGCATGAATTAGCATAAAAATGATCCAAAAGTTCATAATTGAACCATTAAAAAATGCAAAACTAAAATGTCTCTATAATCTCTCCTTTCATTCATTCATATTAATGTGAATTAATTGTTTTAAATTTGAAGTGTTCATTTTTGTAAATATATTAATTTTTTCACATAAAATTTTGCATGAAAATCAAATTTTTTTTGTAAATCAATCCAACTAAAATAATCTTAAAAAAAAAACAGTTTTTTGCTTATTTTTTACTGATTTTTAACATGATGAATTGACTAATGAAAGATCATAATATCCTTTAAAAGTAAGTTTTCCTAAATGGAAATTCATTTTTTTGGGTATTCTTAGTGCTGCCTGTAATGACATTAAAATCAATTGCAATTATATAGATTTATTTTTAAATAGTTTTTTAGCATCATAATTCATTTCAAATATCATTGTTGGGGAACATGAGTAAGGTGCAGTTTTTTAATGATCTTTAATTTCTCTGTTATAGACTGATTTAACTTGCCAAAGGATACAAGAGTATGAAACTCAGACTTCGTCCGATTTAGAATTACGAAATAGTAAAATCGACGATCTTAATAGAGTGGGTATTCAGTAGAATAAAATATTAGTAAATCAATCAATACTTTATGCATAACTAACAACTATTCATTGTTTTGAATAGGCGAATGAAGAACTTAGGCATCAGGTGAATAGCCAACAAAAAGTCATAGATCAACACAAATCGCAGATTAGTAAATGTGTTGACGTAGTTAAGAAATTGTTGAAGGAGAAATCAAATATTGAGAAAAAAGAAGCGCGTCAGAAATGCATGCAGAATCGTTTGAGGCTAGGTCAATTCGTTACGCAAAGGGTTGGTGCTACTTTTCAAGAAAATTGGACTGATGGTTATGCCTTCCAAGAACTGGCTCGCCGTCAAGAGGAGATCACGACTGAACGCGAAGAAATCGATCGCCAAAAGAAACTTTTGCTAAAGAAGAGACCCTCTAACAGCGAGACAGGGAGAAAACGCAGCAGTCAGCCTGCCCAACCGGCGTCTTTACACAACGGTACTGAGCCTACGTTCCTCAAACCCGACGCGGTTCCAGGCTCTTACACGTGGCAGGAATATTACGAAGCTGATGAAATTTTAAAGCTACGTCAAAGTGCTCTAAAAAAAGAAGATGCCGATCTGCAGCTAGAAATGGAAAAACTTGAACGCGAACGTAACTTGCACATTCGTGAACTCAAAAGAATACACAACGAGGACCAATCGAGATTTAATTCACATCCTGTTCTAAATGAAAGGTATCTTCTCCTTATGCTATTGGGTAAAGGCGGATTTAGTGAAGTTCACAAAGCGTTCGATCTCAAGGATCAACTTTATGTTGCCTGCAAAGTGCATCAACTAAACAAAGACTGGAAAGAAGATAAAAAAGCTAACTATATTAAGCACGCTTTAAGGGAATACAATATTCACAAGGCTCTTGATCACCCAAGAGTAGTCAAGCTGTACGACGTTTTTGAGATTGACGCTAACTCTTTTTGTACAGTGTTAGAATACTGCGATGGTCACGACTTAGATTTTTATTTAAAACAGCACAAAACTATTCCAGAAAGAGAAGCTAGATCAATAGTGATGCAAGTAGTATCAGCTTTGAAATATCTTAACGAAATCAAACCTCCGGTGATTCACTACGATTTGAAACCAGGCAACATTTTGTTGACTGAAGGTAACGTTTGCGGTGAAATCAAAATCACAGACTTTGGACTTAGCAAAGTAATGGATGAAGAAAACTATAATCCTGATCACGGGATGGACCTGACTTCGCAAGGAGCCGGAACTTATTGGTATCTTCCACCAGAATGTTTTGTGGTTGGTAAAAATCCCCCCAAAATCTCATCCAAAGTTGATGTGTGGAGCGTTGGAGTAATATTTTATCAGTGTCTTTACGGGAAAAAACCTTTTGGGCACAATCAATCCCAGGCTACAATTCTAGAAGAGAATACAATTCTCAAAGCCACAGAAGTTCAATTCGCCAATAAACCAACCGTCAGTAATGAAGCTAAGGTAAATTTATATTCTATTATAAGGAAGTTATTTAAATGTAATATTTCTCGAATATATTTATTAATTTGAATTATTTCCAGAGCTTCATTCGAAGTTGTTTGGCGTATCGGAAAGAAGAACGCATCGATGTATTAACTCTGGCACGGCATGAGTATTTACAGCCTCCAGTACCAAAGCACGGTAGGCAAGCGAATAGCCAACAGCAACAGCAGCAACAACAACAACAAATTCAGCAACAACAACAACAGACTTCATTCACAACTGGTATGTTCAGTGGCATGAACGCATCAAGTAGCTCGTAGCTGTCGAGTACCGGTGCCGGTGGTGATAGAGACTCTCGTGGAGCTATCATTGCTTACACGCCGAACTTGGGCTTGTTAAAAGATAACGAAGATGTAACACCAGCTGTTGTGCTTATGGAACGACGGAGAAAACTTACATGATGATGGAAACAAAACAGAAATTGTAAATAAACCCTCCTTCATAATTGAAGACCGTCTCTAGTAGAGATGTACATAACGAATAAGCAGTTAAGTCAGCCACGCATCAACGATCGAGGTTTCATACGTGCCTCATCTATAGGACTGGCTGCCTATGAAGTCTTGAAAAGACAAAAAACGCTCACAAACAAATTTTCCGATTCATGACAAAGCGAACACAGAGAAACATAAAACTGTGTTCTTACATTATAAATAATCAATCGTATTATCGTTCCTTGTATCAAAACGAAAAAAGTGGATTACTGATGATTAATACAAATAGTGCTATTATTGATTGAACAAATAAGGCGAAATAATAACTATAAGAATTGAGTACGAAATGAAATGAAAAAAAATGTGATAAGTCATTGTAAACATATAATACGAGATATAAAACAATACAACGGAGTCGAGGAGTTTGAGAAAAAATGAATAGACAAAACAAATTCGCGAATGTGTGATAAATGTTGAAAGCTGATAAAAATGTAGTATCTAGTGAAAGTGAAATTATTACTCAGTGACTGAAAAAAGACAGACATAGCGAACGAGTGAATGCATTAGGTTTTGATGAATCTTTGAAAATCAGAGCAATGACTCCGGGGCAAATTCCACACGTACATATTACATGATAGTGTTGTACTTGACTAATCATCAAAGTAACTGTAATAATATTGAAGCTTTTTTGTTGTTGTTTGAACATGTGATTTTTTCCTCTTTTGTTCTGAACATTAAGCTTGTAAAAATTATTTCGTGGTGATTGAAGGTTATATTCGAGTGAGTGCGGTTATAATAATGACTGTAAGTTTGTTTTTAATGGTAACTCATAATTAGCAGCAAGCATGTATAAGCGTGTTATTTGTAATTTGTAAATATTTATGCTTTATATATATCTAAACTGATGAATCTGATATATAATATATATAAATATATATATAGTGTATAAATATTTTAAGTTAGTAGCGGATAACGTAACGATGAAATGGACAGTTAACAAAATTAGCAATTATTAAAAAAAAAACCGTAAATTATAATAATGATGATGAATTGTAGTGAAGTTAAGACATGGAATTTGTGTGGTGGATTACTCCTCACATGGTTGTCGTGCAACGCCATATATTCCATGAATATTTGACCCGCACATCTATGTTACTTTATTCGAAATAAAATGAATAATTGATTACTTATGTCGTGATTTAATGATGAATAAGTAAACAAAAAAATACAGTAAACTCTCATAAAATATTACCTACTCTTGCGATATAAATACACAAAATTAGAGACATCTAAGCGCGACACATACACACAAAAATATGAAGATTTGGTGGGTTGTTCCTAAATTCAATACAGAATTAAACCGACATGGCATGAATTTCGACTCCATATAGAACTAAAGGAATTAAATGCTTTACAGATCGGTTATGTGTATTTGTATTTCTCAAGATGTGACTGGAATTAAAATGATGATAAGCTTTACGTATCCGAAAATGATATGAGAGAAAATAAAATAAATTCCAACAGAAGTGTTGAAGTATGAAACGCGATCAAATTAACGGCTAAATGACTCGTGAAAAATATCAATTGATAAATATCTACCTAAAAATAAATTTTCACTTTTTAATAAAAAAACATCGTGTTCCTCGTACGCATGTAAATACGTGCTGTCTAATCCATTATACACATACACGAATCCACCTTCTCTCCAATACTTATATCGTAATTCCTATGCTCAAACAACAAATAACAATTTTTAACTTTTGATGTGAAGAAGAATAATTCAGAATAAAGTGCATGTAGAAAATAGCAACTATAATTTTTCATGTCCCCGGGGCTTCAAATCGATTGCTCTTGTTTCATAAGAACAAACTCCACTAAATTTAAAGCTTATATTTATGATAATTTCATGAATTTAAGTTTTTTTTGTACATTGAAAAGCTATAACAAAAAACTGGCATATAAACAGTTAATCAGGCATTTTTCATACTTTCATTTATTATTTAAGACGACAAGAGAAAATTGAGAAGAGGCAAAAATGAGTGTGTTAAACTTTTAATACGAACGAAAGTTAAATAAGCGTTACATATTATAGAAATTCAGACCTGATCATGAACTTTTTCAAATAGTTTCTTTATTCATAATTTGTTTTATATATGTACGTTATACATAGTATAATTATGAAATAGAAGACTAAGTTATTTTGTCAAGTGCCCTTGCTTTGTATTATAGTCGCGTCTGATGGAAAGACAAATCACAGCTTTCGGAAAAACTAGTTACGACGGCAGTGATGATTAAAAAACGAGTAAATAAATCAACATTTATACAAAATGAGAACAAGTATGCGTCTTTTTTTTGTGCGTTATTTGCAGAAATAAAATCTGTACGTTAAAGAAAGGTGCGTGAATCAAGTATGAATGTGAGCGAGATTATTATTAATATAACTAGAATTATTATTGATAGAAATTTAAAAAACAAAATACATTGTACGTAAGAGTGTGATGAAGAGAATGTGAGTATAAATATATATAAATATAAATATAAGTAACCAGGATACGAAAAAAAACCCAAGAACTTGTTGAAGAGGTAAAAAAGTGTTGTAAATTGTTGGTACACGCGATACTTGTGCATACACATACGACGTCGATGTCACAATTATGATAAACATACCAACGTCATTGGCGAAAAAAAATTAACATGTGGACAGGAGAACACAATACAAGTCTGAACAGTGTCTACTATTAAATCAGTTTAATTAATTTAAGTCCTAATAACTCATTCCATATCCTTATACCACTACCTACTTAATCTGCTATTCAACTAAATCATTATTTTGAAGTTACTTGATATTTTTTATCAAAGGAATTATTTATTGTTATTTTACTGAAATATTTTTTTTATACTTAAAAAAGTTGAGGTTTTTTCTTTTAATTTCTCAACATGAATGACGAGTTAGTTGAGTACTTTGTCTTTGGAATTCGATTTGCTTCAATTTTTCAAGACGGAATATTGCAAAAGGCACCTTCCTTTTTTTTAATTTTTCTCGGATGATTATCAAAAACTAAAGAACTTACAAACCATGAAGATCAACGAATAAGAAATTATCATGAAGAAATTTCATCGGCCATTAACTTAATGGTATTCTTTTTTAGTTTATTTTGAATTTAGCATTCTCTAAAATCGATATTGAAATAAATTGAGTAATTTTGTCGGTAAAAGCTGATAAAATTAACAAGCTGAAGAAACATCAATTTTCCTCATAACAAAATGGACACAAGTAAGAAAAAATTTAATTTTCAAAGCTGAACAAGAAAAAATGGTAAAAATATAATTTAAGGATGAGGTAAATTTAATCATAATATTTTCTAGTATGAGTAATTTTATTCATATTTAGAAGTAGTCTGTTAAAACCTTTATGAAAATTGTAGTCAAGAACAAATAACTACATTATTTATTTAATATATTTTATATAAAAAATGAGGTAGCAGAATCGAGTCATAAAAAGTTATAAATTAGAAATACAACAGTCATGTACAATGTATCGTTCGATCAGTAATTAATTGACAAAAATAACTATTGAATTAGACTCTGCATCTTGGTTCGTTTTTTTCTAAACTTACGTATCAAAATTTGTACTTTATATTCAAGAGAACAAACTATTCCAAAAACACATAATCTTATAATCATATAGTTGCAAACAATTCTTGGCAATTGCTCAAAAAAGTTGGTGATTTTCTTCCATGAAAATCTTTTATAAAAGAGCAATCGTTAGTAATACAAACGTGATAAATATCGATAGAAAATATATTTTTATTGTTAGTATATTATTTTTGAAAAGCGAAAAATGAAATCAATTTTTTTATCTGAAAAATTAAGTAACGAAAAGACCAATTTCTTTATATATAATCGGCCGAACTGTACTCTTAACATAAAATATCAAGGTAATTACTGTACTTGTAATTACTAGTACTGAAACCTTACTGTATTATATTGTAGTAATTTGTGGAAACAACAAATATTTCATTTTTGCTTGTATAAATACTAGTAAACGACAGTCTTAAACTATTTACAAATACGCACTTAAAAATATTTTTACAAGATAACGCAACGCTAACTTAAAAAAAATTCACAATAACCAAATATTTAGTCACTGTAATCCGTTGTATGCTGAGTACTTCCTGAGTTTATAACTTATGATGCATGACGTAGCTACGCTTGCTACTAATTTAAAAATTTTCATAAGAAACCTAGTAATCAGAGTCTGAGCTCATATCTTTCAACTTGTAAGAGACTGGTTTACGAGATCGCCCTGCTGGTTTTCTAAGGGGAGGAGATTCCTCGACGACCATGTCTTCGTCAGAATCATCTGAGTCTTTCTTTGCCTTCTTCTTCTTCTTTGGCTAAAATTTTACATATTTTTATAAAGCATTATAATGTTGTATGATTTTTTATTTGATTGAGGAAACTTACAGGTGTTGATTTAACTGAGTATAAATCTTCAGAATCAGATCCAGATATTGCAGTCTTCTTTTTGGCTGGTCTTTTTTTCGTTTTTTCTTCGCCATTTTCAGTTTTCTTTTCGGGTTTCTTTTTCGGCGGTGCTATGAATAATTTTATATTTTACAATATTGCTTCATAATAATTATAAATACTTTAGTTTTGAATTATAATTACCCTTCTTTTTGGGTGGTGGTTTGATTGGCGAAGTATCTTCAGAAGAACTGAATATGGCTATAGATGAAGTTGACTTTTCTACTACTTTTTTCTCCGGTGAACTTGAGATCAATGTGTCAAATAATTCTTCAGAGCTTGCTGTAACATCAACAAAATGTAATTAATTATTGTTATTGAGATTATTGGTTTTTAATACATACGTTGTGGTTTGGCAGTTTCTTTTTTAATCTTCAAGTCATCATCGGAGTCACTATCGATTTTTGACATATGCTGCATAACGGGTCTACAAATTAAAATAAATGATAATAAGATTTATTCTTTAATTCGATATTTTTTTAAATCATACTCACTTATCGTCATCAGATCCTATACTATGTAACTCAGCTTCACTGCTATTGGATTCATCACTATTATCGATGGTGTACTTCTTTTGTGCTACAATCACATAATTTTTTTAGTGATTAGACAATTAATCTACAGTGCAGAGGAGAAGTTAACAAAGAGTTATAAAAATCATTATTACCTGCTGCAGCCCTCCGAGGAGCTCTAGGTTGAGGAGGAGGAGAAAGTGAATCAAAATCTATTTCCGCTTCATCACTATCACCACTTTCGTCAAATTCTTTCTCTTTTTTAACTTTTTTCGCAGGTTTAAAAGGAAGTTTAGTTTGTTTTAACCCTATAAAAAAGAAAAAAATTAACCATAATTCAATTATGGTTTATAATATAATAGTCAACTAATTACCTTTCTTGCCCTTTTTCTCTTTTTCTAGTTTATCCGGCGATTCGCCTAATCTATCATCCAGTGGTTGTTTGGTACCTTCAATAAGAGCGTCAAATTCATCTTTTTCTTCTACAACACCTTTTTCTTTCTTAACTCTCTTTTCTTTTTTAATTCCATCTTTTTTATCTTTAGTGGCAATGTCAGCTTTTTCAATCTTCTTTTTCATTTCATTATCAATCATAGGTACAATTCTTCGAGTTTCATCAGAATTATAAAACTTTGCCGGTGGCTTTTTCGTTTTAACTTTAGATTTTGATTCATTCTTTTTCTCTTTTTCTTCAGTTTTGTTGAGTTCAGCTAGAAGGTTATCAAGATCCTCTTTCCACAATGACAATGGCGTACGAGCTTGCAATCTGTGTAATTCTGCAAGTTTCTCATCTTTTTGCTTTAGTAATTCATCTTTCTTCTCCTTGGTCAAACTCCACATAGTCATACCCAATAGGTAATCGAAATTTTCTTTTTCAATAGCAGCAGGACTTGATTGTTCTTCATCTTCATTTTCAGCAATTTCATCCTATAAAAGAATTTCATAATTGAAGATAATTAAATATTAGCATGAGATCATTCAAACTGTGATTAAAATAAAGGATTAATTTTTTATAGCATTATTATATTAAAATTAAATCATTCATAACATTTTTTTTTAAAAACATAAAATTCAAAACAATTTCAAAAATAGCAAAAATACTCTGACAAACTTGATTTAAATTTTGCAGGTCATTTTATAATTTGAAATATTGAATTATCAAGACTGACAAATAACAGATTATTGTTTTTATCTATTACTTTTTTTAGATACTTCAACATTTAAAACTGACCAATAGAGTTTAAATTAAATTAGTAAAAAATAATTAAGCTTATTGTACTCTGAATGATATCAACAACTGATGTTACTACTTATGTTTCTTATGTATAACTTACTTGCTATTCCAAAAGGAAGCATGGTAAAGATGATATGTTATGATTACAGGGAAAATATATAAAATGAAGTATAAATGTTCGGTGACAAGATCAAAATAAAACTTACCAAAACTTCATCGCGATTTTGAGTAAGCTTCCAGGCGATCAATGGATCCGAATCATAGCCTCGTCTAATTAGTTCCGCAATCATGTCTTTTTTCTTCTTATTCTCGACCGTCAAAGTGCCGTCACACTTTTCTAAAATAAATCTTGCTTGATTGGAAAGCTTGGCACTTTCGGCTTGCAGAATTCCCTCAAGATAATCCTTTCGTTTTTGGTACAAATCGAGTCGGACTTTGAAGAAAGTTTTCATAATTTGAAGAACGTCGTCGTATTTCTTCAGACATTGATTCTCGTCAAAAGCACACATAGACGTGATAGATGTTGTAGTTTGCAGTTTGAATACTTTATGAAGACCCTCTCTTTCCAATTCTACAAGCTTGTCGCGTGGTATTGTCACAATGAAGTGTACTTCAGTATCAGTGTTATATTCTTTGTAATCACTGATAAGTGCGGGAGATTTATCCGATCCATGAAGCATAGGCTCCAAAACGGATTCCTTGTAAACTTGAGTCCAAGTGCCGATTGGTAATTCAGTGATTTCCACCTTGTCATGACCAATGATTCTAATTTCACCGCTAATAAGGTATCTGTATTCGCCACAGTTGTCAATTTCTCCAGTGAAGTTTTTGTAGAATGGTTTCTAGAGAAAATAATCACATCAAGTGGGTATAATAATTGTTGAAACTAATTTTTAATTTTGATTCATACCATTGATCTGGGTTCACCGCCATCCATCATTCTCAACAGATTATCAATAATCTCACGAGGATTGTAATTGGGAATTTTCGTCATCCATCCAGTGCCTATACCATCAGCACCATTGACGAGTACCATTGGAATGATTGGTACATAATAGGTCGGCTCGATTTTTTGATTATCATCGTACTCATGTCGAAGCAAAGCATCATCGTGCTTGTGATAAATAAAGCGAGCCAATGGACTCAACATCGTAAAAATGTAACGAGGACTAGCCGCGTCTTTACCACCTTGTAATCTCGTACCAAATTGACCAATGGGCTGAAGCAAATTAATATTGTTGCTGCCAACAAAATTTTGAGCTAAATTAATGATCGTTGACATGAGGGACATTTCGCCGTGGTGATAGGCAGAATGCTCGGCTACGGAAGCACCCAATTGAGCAACTTTCACTTCACGTTTGTCATTTCTTTTAAAGCAGGTGTACAAAACCTTTCTTTGACCAGGTTTCAAACCATCCATCATATTAGGAATAGAACGAGTGTTATCGTAGTTACTAATCGGAATAAAAAAATTGTTTTATTAATTGAATAAACGAGAAATAAAAAAATATTGTAAAAAGTTACCTGAAAAGCACGAGTTCTACATTGATAAAATCAGAAAAAGAAACAGCTTTCGTATCCTTTTCATACAGATAACGTTCGCCAAGGCCGATTTCTTTTCGTCGTTTTGTTTCTTCCATATGATTGGTCAACCAATCCTTACGTTGATCAACGCACTTTTTACTGAATGCCATAATAATATTTTGATCATCTTGCTCGCCGTCGTACCTAAATCGGATACGATGGCGTGCCATGTTTTCAAAGTACTCCTTTGCTTCTTGAGCAGTGGACGTACCCAAACCTGGAGGAAGAGAAATTAAATTGAATTAATTAATTAATTGTATGCTTTTTCAAAGAATTTTATTAACAAAGGTAAAAAATAAAAACCTTTGTAGTACTTGATCTTGTAAGTGTGAGAATTGGCTGTATCTTTCTTCCATGCTTCAAATTCAGGTAATGAAAAAAATGACAATACTTGATTTCCTTTTCTTGCTTTAACAATGGGAGTAATGAATTCTTCAATAAAGTTTAGTTTAAGAAGTGATGGCCAATTGTGGTGGATGAAGTTTATGAGTAAGCCTTTAATGTGAGAACCGTCCTATGAAAATGGAAATAAAAATTTGTTTTTACTCTGTTTCTATTTCTGAAAATATTTCACTATTAGTTTATAGTAACCTGATCCTGATCTGTCATGATCATAATTTTTCCGTATCTAAGAGACTTCATGTCCTCACGAGATTCATATTTTTTCTTATATTGCAAACCCAGAATTTTGATCAAGTTATTGATTTCCGCGTTCTCTAAGATTTGCTTGTGGGTTGCTTCTCTCACATTAAGAATTTTACCCTTCAGAGGGAACACGCCAAATTTATCGCGTCCAATCGAAGCAATACCTGACACAGCCATACTTTTGGCTGAGTCTCCCTCAGTCAAAATCAGAGTGCAATCTAGAGATCTAGCTGTACCAGCGTCATTAGCATCTTCAAGTTTTGGTATGCCTTGTAATTTTTTTTGTTTGGATTTTGGGCCAAGTTTCTGGAGTTGGCTGTCAGCTTTGAATTTAGCCCAAGACAAAACAGACTCAACGATTCCACTTTTTGTAACCTATTTGTAAGAAATCGATAGTTACATTTCATATTGATAATAACATGATTAATTTATTGATTTTCTGAAATTATTAAATGAAATCTTACATTTGTGATGAATTTCTCGCTCAGATTACACTTGGAACCAAAACTTTTCTGCTGCAAAGTCATGTTCTCTTTTGTTTGAGAGTCAAATGTTGGATTATTAATCAGACAGTTAATGAATATCCAAATATGATTCTTGATTTGGAAAGGTTTGATTTGAAAACCAGCTTTATTTTTTTTCTTCAAAGTTTCAATAAGTTGTTTAACAACCATATCTGTTACATGATCAACATGACGACCACCCTACAACAATATTTTGAAAGATATAAAAATAAAAATTATTTTACAATATTTCATGAGTAAAAGTTATATATTACCTTTGTGGTAGCTATACTATTAACAAAAGACATTTGTTGAAAACCTTTATCTGACATAGTAATTGCCACTTCCCATCTAGGGTTACAATTTTCATAAATAACTTTCAATGGATTTCCAGCATCATCCTCTTTGCCTTTGATGTATAGATCTACATAATCTTTAAAATTTTTAATTGGTATTCTTGTACCATTTAAAAATACTTTAACACCTCTAGTGGAGGCAGCAACATCATAAGCTCTTCTAGACATCAGAGCTACTACATCATCATCTAATTTGTCCATTTTGAATTTAGTCAAGTCGGGTGAAAAAGTTACCTAAAATAATTAAAATTAAAAAAATTAAATGAGTGAATATTGATTGTAAATTACAATTTGATTGATGATATTTACTTTTGTGAAATCAGAGCCATGAAATTCTTTAATCTTTGAATCAGATGCTTTGCCCATATTATCTCCCCAAACTTGTTTGAAACTTTTCTTATACTCTTTACAAGCAGTTTCAACAGTGAAACGATGACTGAATATGTTACAAAGTTTGGCACCATAACCATTCCTACCTCCTGTTACTTTTTCTTCTGCATCGTCATAATTCGAAGATGTCAGTAAATGACCAAAGATCATAGTTGGTACATACATGTTTTCTCCTTTATGAACAACCACAGGAATACCCTTTCCATTGTTCCACACAGAGATTGTATTTGATTCACTTAAAATAGAATATTAAGACAATTTTAATTTAATTATATATTAATAAAATAGTATAATAAATTATTTTCAAAACTCACGCATCAATGTCAATTTTAATACAATCCATGTCAGGATCTCGCTGCTTATTGTCAGCAGCATTCACGAGAATTTCATCAAAAATTTTGTATAAACCAGGAACATATTTTATTTCTTTTTGTACCATCATTTCTTTCTCCTTATCATAAATCCACATCATTTCTGTGACAGGCTCAACCGAACCAATATACGTGTCAGGCCTAAGCAGGATATGCTCAAGCTGAGTTTTCTTCTGATAAATACCCTCAATGGATTTATCCTTCTTCTTACTAGAAGCTCCTCCATCGCCTCCATTCTCAGCAGCACTCATTTTGAAAATTTGCAAGCTGAACTGTCTGCAACAAATTAATGATATTGCAATTTTTCCAAGAACATGAATCCTAGTATAAGATTGCAAAATTGCTTTAAGGTTGGAATCATTTACAATAATAAACTATGAAGCACTTTGAATTTTACAATTGAAAACAAACAATTCGATTATTTTTCAATAAAACAACGCGAAGGTGTCAAACGAAAATTCCAGTTGACAAGCATCGAATTAGTTTCGCGCATGGCCGACGCTACCAAGCCGGCATTCTATCACTGAGATATATCGTGTACGTTACAACGTGCCGCTGCAATTGACACTTGTAAATTGAACGCGAATTCGTCACTGCAGCCGTTAAGAAATACTACGCAATTGCAAAAAATCGAAGGTTTATCGTCAATGGTACAGAAAGAACGTTACGAGGCGAACAGTTTAGACGAGACAAAAATTGAAAAAGAAAAGAAAAAAAAACAACCTTGGGGGAGTAATCGGAGTCTCAGAGCAGGAACGACGAAGCAAGCCTCGGACTATATGGCGGGAAAGAGTCTTATACATCCAATGCAACGATAACGAGCCTACGAATTCTCTCTCGAGCCAACTCACCCTTTATTCTCCTTCGACTCTCGTCTCTTTGTTCAATTTTTTGTTCTCGACGGCCGAAATCCAAGCTTCGGGCCCGGCGATATCAGAATCGATATAGGTACACACGTCGAGTCTGTTATACGCAGCTCCAGAGTCGCAGACACGCAATATTATAGCACACAGTCACACTATACAGAGTGTGTAACGTACGGGACACACACACACACACACACACACATATACGCACAAGTATACACATACACGAGAGAGGCACACGGTTTGCGCCGCAAACTGCCGGACTCGCAGTCACACGCAGGAACACGCAGGAGCCCTTTCGACTCGGCGCGCACGATATACGCAGTTTTTATGTCAATGTCCAGGCCAGCTCAGCAGCGAGAGCGAGACGGAGATGGGTATAAAGAGCAGTTGCGTGCATCAGACTCGCGCAGGCAGCATAGCGATATAAGCATACAAGCAAAGCAGCAGCAAGGCTAATATCAAGGCGCTTAATTATCGCGCAAAGGGGGAGAAAAGTTGCGCGACGCCAGCGCCAGGACGCGCAGTAAATAACTCTGTCTTTTTCTAAACTGCAGTTCCCGAATGCGAGACTGAGGCAGTCAGCAGCAGCAGCAGCAGCACAGAATATACCTATTTGTACCAGCAATAGAGCGCACGATATATATTTACATACACTGCTACTAACACAAGTCGGCCCGCCGATGCGGCGAGATTAATCTTGAAAACAGAGACAGCGAATGCCTCTACCGCACGCGCATACATAAATAAACAATCGAACGTAAACGCTTATCGCGAAGCTCGTTTACCGCGCGAGTAGTGATCGGAGCAAACGCGCGTGTTTTTGGGTGCCTGCGTGTGCCTTACTTTTATTGTATCACGCCGAGTGCAAGAGCTCTTCTCTCTGTATATAAAATACGGAGCAGCTACCGTGGTGGTGTGTGGCCGCGAGTACGCGGAGTACTTATAACCTACAATATATAGGTATCAGCACGGGAACGCGCTGTGCTTCGTCGCTGGCGTTCGTCTCGTCGTCGGATGTAAACAGAGAAACACGGCGACAACAATAATATACGCACGATTATTTTGACATTTGAGAGTGGGAGCTTGCAAGCGAACGATTCGATGACTGTCGCTCGATTCGACGTGGCTTTTTTGTTTACATCTAGCTCTGCGATCCGCTCTCGATTTGTGCCCGCGGTGTGCATGTAAGCCTTTGTGTGCGTGGGTGTCAGCGGATCATCGATCGGTCGAAAAAAACTTTCTCTCGATTTTTTTTTTCTCTTGATTTTTTTTTTTCTCTTGATTTTGACGCTTCGTGTCAATATTGCTGCGGTTAAAAATCCCAACAACTATAATATCATCGACAACGATAACAATAGCAACGATAATGTGTCAAAAGAAAGGGAATGAAAATTGGAGTTCAACCGCTACAGTGTCAGTACCCAAGCCTTTGACGTAAACTTGTAATTTACGCGACACGCATACACGTGAAAAAAAGAACTGCTCCAAATTCGAGTGGATAAATAAAGTCAGAGATAAATCATGTATGTGCGAGCCCCGTCTGTTTACTTACTTAATGAAGATTACATGCTGCCGCCACCGTCGCCTCTGCGTTGTGTACTTATGCTTGAATTAATTTTCAGACGCAGGCAGTCGTCCAAGCATTTTTCCTGGTAAAGCCAAGGAGAGAGAGATTTTTCGAGAGGAAAAGTATAGAATAAAAAAGGCGGGCAGCAGTTGCGTTCCGTTCTCGGTCAGGTGGCTCGAACAGGGGCTATGTTGTTTTTTTACCTACACCACTGATTCAGTAGTTACGCAGCAGCTCTCGAACAGCGAGAAAAAAGGACGACTTTTTTACGTAGTAGTGCGCGTCAGAATGGATCCTATTGCCGAAGTTGTGAAGGTAAGGAAAATCATCATTTTCGCTCGTGTCGTGCATCATTATCATCGAGTACACGTTAACTCTGTATGACGGGTGTTCTCTGTTTCATGTATGGTCGATTGCTCTCATCTCATTAGACATTTCCTGATTTAAAAATCCAGATCGACAGTCTACTGTCCTCTGCGCAGGGAGAAAAGGCCGCCGATCGAGACCAGACGAGTAGCTCCAAGCAGCCTGCCATGGATGACGAGTACGGCAAGTGCATGCCGGATTGCTGCAAGTATCAGGAGTTGGCCAACTACTCGATGTGGGAGACGGGCCTCGACTGTCACGACGGACCCTCGGAGGTCGTCGAGCTCATGCGCCAAATCATAGCCGAGCAGCGTCGATGGGATACTCAGATCAGGCGACCCATGATCACCGAAATGAGGGAGCAGTGGCTCTTGCTCACAAAACTCCAGAAAGCTCACGATAAGCTGGTGGTAGGTTTTTGACAGCTCGATCTCTCGCAGTATCTAGAACGTAACGTGAGTTTTGTTGTATTGACAGGGTGGGGTTTCCGATGACTCCGAAAACGAAGAGGAGTGCAAACGATCCGGACAGAACGAGGCAGGCAGACTGAGGCCAGTTCAATGTGACGGGGCACTTCCCAAAGCCAAAAGGCTAAAAACAGCTGAGACTGCTGCAAATCAAGAACCCGATTACGATGACTATGTAAGTCAATATTTTGACATTGGATGGAATTTGAATTATTTATCTCACAATATCTTTATTTTTTGTAGCAGGATGCCGAATTCGCGAGGCTCGAAAGATTATGTGAAAAATATGGCAGTAGCGCGGGCAAAGATGATAATTCAGATGATTTTGATTTTCCCAACGAAATATTACAATCGACGGCCGATCAAGTAATTAATGTCGCAAGAAGAGTGAACGAAGCTAAAAGACACTTCGATCGGCTGAAGCGTCGCTACGAGGTCGCCGAACAAAAACAGACCAGCTGGCTCTTGGACAGACTCAAAGAACTGAGAGAGAAAGACGGAAGTACTATGTAAATATAGATAGACAATGATGCATACGGAAAAAGTTTTATTTGTTCAATGTAAATGTTAGCTCGTTCGGTTAACTATTACGATATTTATGTTACGCTTAATTTGTTATGCGATTTTTAATAGAGGAATGTGTGATACTATAAGCTAGCACGTACGACTTTACATCTCTTATAATTATAAGTATCGATTTTACTATCGTATATTACGACAATAATTTATGCACCTACCTGCACCAAACGATGTTTTGATGTTAAATATTTCGCGTGTAAAGTGTCCATTATTATGTGTATTTGTAATGAATAATAAAGAAAGGATCATGATTAAAGTACACTTAATAAATTTGTAACATTTTTCTTATTTTCAAAGCTGTACTAAAATTTTAATTGTATGAACAATTTTTTAAAAAAACAAACAACTTTTTGTAATTACCTAACAACTTTCCAGAAAGTTACAAATTTTCATCGATGTTTTGAATAAACTCAATGTATGGTGAAACATAAAAATTCTCTTTCTTTCTTTTTTGAATTAAATATTTTCACTCCTTTTTTTCTCAGCTCCGATTGTAATTATTAGACAATTTCAACGATAGATTGTTCTGTCTTAAAGTTCAAATTTTTTTATAGTTAATTACTCATGAAAAAAGATCTAATTTTTTTATGAAACTTTATCAAAATCCAATAATTTAATATTTTATGTTGACCTGTTTTTTAAAAAAATTTTAATTCCGACTGAAACTGAAGAAACAAGAATTATTTGTATTTTTCTATGCAACGTTTTTTAGAAAACATAGGTAATCATTCAACTTTAACAAGCTCATTTTATCGATTTTATGAAACATCGTGTTTTTCTATTTTCAAAATGCCCTAGTTTAACTTCAAGTAGATTATGAAAAGGATTTAAAAATGAATTTAGTTATTTATTTGACGATATTTTATCTTAATATTGCCTGTTTTATAGATGCTGTAACGGAAAGCTGCGTGAATTTAATCGTTCATCACATATCCAACATGTCTCCACGCACAGTCACAATTCTTTTCAGTAGTGACATCGATAATACCAAAGAAAATTTAATACTAAAATTGATATCTTGCCAAGGCATCACTTACGTATCAAACACAGTCGTAGAATATTTCGAAAAATCATCGATCTTTGTTATATTGATTCGTGACGAGAGCGAGGCTTACTCCGTAAAAAAATATATCGACGACTTTACAGATGCTTTTCCAAATGAGACGCGGCCTAAGATTCTCGTAGTGCTGCTCGAAGGTGAAATTCAAAACGACGATACAATTCGAAGAATTTATGAGCACGGCTGGACCAATAAATTTTTAGACGTAAGTCTAGTGAAAATAGGACACAGTAGCAGCTGCGTCGTTCAAGCTTACAATCCCTTCGAGAGTAGAGTCGGAGAAAAAAATCTTAACGAAAAAAGTATCGAACTATTTCCGGACAAATTGATAAACGTGCATCGGCAAAAAATTACAATGGGCGCGATTCCAACCGATCCGTTGGTTAAAATTGTGCAAAATAGTGTCGGGGAAGTTATGTACTTGGACTCGGCAGATACCGACAAGACCATACTCGCGTTCGAATCAATGAACTTCAACATCGAATACGTAATCATGAATGAAACGGTTAGATATTTTAAGGGTCTACTGATGTTTGTGGATGAATTAAGAATGAACAAATTGAATCTTGTGGCTTTTTCTCGCGGCTTTTCGAGTGCGTTCGACAACTTGACGCACGTCTACTCGGGTGCGTCGTGCTACAGTGTGGCCGCGGCTGTGCCCTACTTGATCAACACACAGATGAGACTACCCTGGCAAACATTGACCTACTTGTTTCTCGTTCCTTCGTTCATCGGCCTCATCACGTGGATATTAAAACTGGTGAACGCTTTGAACGACAGCGTGAGAATTTTGGACATTTTCGGGTCGCTCTTCGGCGTGACGATCGGCATGAAACCAACGAAAATCACCGAAATGATCGTACTATCGACGATTTTTTTCGTATCGATCGTATTTCCGAGCGACTTTTACTCGCACTTCATCGACGAGAAGCTGGTCAAGGGTAGCGTCGGTCTCAACACGTTCAAGAGCATCGACGAGTCCGGCCTGGACGTTTTCTGCCTGACCGCCTACTCCCAAACGCTGCTTGAAATCAACGACACGTGGGCGAAAAATATTCACCAAAGACTGACGCCGACGTACGACCAGACCGAGTGCATGGCCGACTTGATGACCGGCAATCCGCGAGTCTGTATCTCGGCTCACGAATATCTATTGAAAATGATCGAATTGCTCGGTACGTCGGAGACTTACAAAGTTCACTTTGCCCGGCAAAATCTGGCCTGTTTGCCGAGATCGTACTTATTGGAAAGAGCCAGTCCTTACGCCGAAAAATTTCGTGAAAAGTTACGATATATACACGAGTCCGGTATCGATGGGTTCTTCAACAAAATTCAGAGTTACAAGAGCATTGGCAAAAGTTACAGAACTATGAATTTTACTTCTAATCAATTTGAAGTGCACTTATTATTCTTTATTATTATTGGTTCTTCAATGGCAATTGTTGTATTTTTATGTGAATTACTATCGGAAATTATCAGTAAAAAAATATTCAATAAAAACGTTGATGAAAAAATGTAAGCAAAGTATTTCATTAATTGCTCAAATAAAACCCTTTTAAAGCTGCTTTAGAATTTTTGATAAGATATACAACGTTTCTTACCTGGTCAGTCATGTAATCCGATCATATAATTGAATGAATGAAAAGGATGACAGGGTTCTAGTGGTACATATATTTTTATTTATTCCAATAAAATTATATCACAAAACTGTAACATAAATTTATCACTAACGTAACAACACAATTCACGTTGATTATATATCATGCGCAAATAAAAATCGGATTATTAAAATGAAGGGCTCCAAAAAATGGCATTCAGAGACATTAGCTCGTTGACCCGCGCAGTACAAAACTTCCAATTTTAAGTTTAATTAGATATTTCCCACACTATTAAATAACTTTAAAAACAATTCAGTCACACAAAGGAATTAAAGCAGATTTTTAAAATACTTTCAATTTTCGAAATATTTAAAATATTTTCAATTGGTGTGTTCATAGCTTAAAATCGTAAAAAACGATGTTTCAGACTTTTCCAAAAGCAAATACAATTTTAATTATAAACCTAACAATTTTTAAGTATTCGTCATTTTAAAATTTAAAAAATACATAGACCAAACGAACGTAAATTTTAACATGTTTTTATTGGATTTTATACTGGACACTTTTGAAAGTTCTTTAAGTTTATTTAAACTACGAAAAAAAACTTTTTTTCCGGTCTCTACCTATAATATTCACTTGAAATATCTATAGCTAAGCATATAATAGCGTAATAGTTGCTGATAAAAGCTTTTATTGACCTGATATAGGCATTCCTTTAATAAATCTAATTACTATTGATTATATTATCATTTCACATTATTAATAATTTTCGTCGGTTATTATAAAAACACAAAAAAAATCTGATTTACGTCTCTGTAGTTTTAATAACGCAGTAACGCTTATGCGCCACTAATGTTGGAATTTTGTCAAAACGCTTGTTGCAAGCCATGCACTCATATCGTTTGTCTTTCTCTGCTACTTTTTCATGAACATTTTTCTCGTGATTACGCAAGTAATGCTTCAAATGAGTTCTGTAGCTACATTGGTTACAGGAGTAATAAAACGGCGTACCGCATATTTTCGCGTGTTGACTCGCGTGTTTGTCGCTGTAAGTCTCACCGCATCTGAGACAGGTTTTTTTGGGTTTGGTATGATTGTTTCTTATGTGCGCCTCGAGATTGCTCTTGAAGTTTGTCTTATAATCACAGCTGTCGCAAAAAATATGCGGCTCTTTCTCGCATTGATAGTTCTGATGGGTATAGAGCCCGCCTAAACTTTTGTACATGCGTTTGCACGCCGTGCACTGATATTGCAGAGGAGTACCGCATTCTACACAGACTTTAGGGGTCTCGCCTTTAACTCGATTCCGTAATTTATCACACTTTTGACAGTAAATTTGTAGACGATCACTTTGAACTGCCGGATCAGATGTTTCACTTGTCTCAGCTTCATCTTCGTCTGGTTTTGGTTCCTCTTTAATGAAAACCTTGTTCATTTCAAATGATGCTAAAAAATGAAAATTTTATAAATCCTTGTGTAAAAAAAGCATTGGAGTATGAGATTAAAACATACTTTTTTCTTCAGAAGTACTTTTCTCTTGTAGATCCGTTCTCACTTTGAGGAGTGGCATCGGTTTTTTTTGTTTCTCTGAAACATGACGAAAATAACATGAAATTTTCGATATAGCATTATCAATGCTATGTAGGAGCTTGAGAAATGATTTTTTCTCAATAACTCAAACGATAGTGAAATAAGCATGGCAATTAGATTATAAATAAATGAAAGGGCAAAAAAATAAATAAATAAAATGAAAAAAAGATTAACCATATTTTAAATCTATGTTAGCACACAAATACTTTAAGTGGTTTATCAGTAGCATTGTGCAGATTGACAAATAGTAATTAAAAAAATAATTTAAATTCTAGTGTGTTGAATAATGAATTGCAATATTTATTTGAAAAATCTTTTCTCCTACACATCAATGTTGAACATTTATGATGAAGTGAAAAGTTAAAAAAACAATTTTATGTGATTTAATTTTTTCTAACATATTATATAAGTTTTATAAATATTTCTTACACACTAATTTTCTTACATTGTAATATTACTTATTGATTTCTACTTATAATAAGAATAGTAATATTTATTTCTAATATTTTTTATATTAATATTTTTGTATAAATAATGAACACAGCTTTGATAAATACTGAAACTTTTTTTTTACAATGACGCATTCTTTAATAAACAATTACTGTATTTTTGGTGCGAGCGTAAATAATTTCGTGTTTTGAACATCTTTCCGCAGTGCTCGCACTTCTCCCAATTCGTTTGTTCGTGGATATTGTGAATGTGATTCATCAAATTTCCTTTGTGATTGGTTTTATAGTTACAGTCGCTGCAGAAAAATTTTGGCTCTTGATCGCAGAGATGCCGCTGATGAAACGATAAGGCCGTGTACGACAAATAATGTCGATTGCATTTGCCACATCTGTATTTAAAAGGATTTCTGCAAACGTGACAGTTTTTTCGAGTTTCCCGTCGTACGTAGGGTGAATCAGAGTTACACGCCAGGCAGACGACGAATTGGCCAATATTATCTGTGGAAAATTTAGAAAGATTAATTAAATAACAGAATCACGTTGAAATAATACAATATTAATTTGCTCTTACCTAGGGGATTATTTAAAGGATCGTCGCTTTTCATATTATCGACACCGATTAACATTGACTGGGATGTATCGATCCATACTGAAAAATAAATTAATACGAATTACGTTAGAAAAATAGTAACATTATTAAGACAAAAACATATAAAATCGTTAAGGTCGAATGGATGGTGTTAGTTTACAATCATAAGCATATGTATAAAAAATTTTTGTAGACAACGAAAGCGTGAAACCTACTACTACACATTCATGAGTATTTAGATTATAAAAAATTACCGGAAATCGTCTACTCATAAGTGAAACTGCTGAACGTGATCTCTTAACTTTTCCTCCTGAAAAGAATAAAAATCGCAAAGCGAGCACACAATTTTCGGTCTGTTTTGGCAGTACATCGTGTGCTCCATCCTATTATTGGCCACCATCGAGCCGCAATATTTGCAATGATGCGACTCCTCGTGTTTATTCGTGATGTGCGCGGAGAGCTCGTACTTCTTGTGCGTGCTGAAGCTACAGTCGATGCAGCAGAACTCGATGGGATTACCCGGACAAGAGTCGGCAAGATGCTTACGAATATCCCGATAACGCTTGAAGTAATCGCGACATTGGAAACATTCGAACTTGTATTTCGTTTTGGAGCTGCAGGCACAAATGTTGCGGCGAAAATCGCTGAAGATCTGTTTATTGTAGGCATACAGGTCCGTGACTATGCTGTTGGGGCATGTTGTACATTTTATCCAGAACGATTGCTCGTTAGTAACGGACAATTCGGAATTATTCGTCTGTGGATCAGTTGCTGTAATTTCCAATTGTTATTTATTTTATTTACTTATTCATTATTATTATTATTTTTCTTTTTTTGAGAATAAAATCTCCTTCGATGTTTAGAAATTCTGACTAAAAATTTGGCTACTTACTCGAGCGATTTAAATGCTCATTTACACGTGAACGTGAATTTTCAGTTTTCACTACCGAGTAATAACGAAGAACTACTGGGACATCGACTTCACCATCTGAAAATATACAATTTAACATTTTAAATTCAGAAAAATAAATAATGGCGCTTTTGAATGTCTATGAACGTGGGACCTAATAATGACGCGGAGCTGATGAGATTCTAAATGAAACACCAAAAATATCCAAAAAATGTCACGAATAATTTAGATAAACGAATATTCATTTTACTGCACATTTATAATAAATATAACTACAATTGTTATGAGTTAGCTACAAAGGTAAATCTTGGATTGAATTCAATTTAGAACAAACATGTTTATTTAGAAAATTCGAATAATCATAGCGTACATATAAGTACAATCTCAAAGAGAAAATTACAAAAATTTACACAGTTCTCAATAAATTTTTACTTATGATACATTTCATTTTTGTAAATTTAAATGTAACTAACAATGTGATGTGTTATCCATCCAGATAATTATTGGATTGAATTTAATTTAAAACTGATATATTTTTCTCGAAAGTTCAAATAATCATTTTATACATATAAGTACAATCTTGAAGAGAAAATTACAAAAATTTACACAGTTTCCAATGAACTTTTACTTATTAAAATATTACATTATTCTACATTATTATTATAATAATTGATACTACAATATTTTGTTATTGTAAATTCTTACTTGTTCTCACATATTGTTATGGAGTACTACCATAATATTAATTTTATCAAATTTGTATAATTCATGTGTTATAGCAAATTTGTAATCTTTTCTTAAAGCTAGGTATATTTTTGAAACAATGTTGTAAACGTGTGCGCGCCTTACAAGCGTGGCACGTTCATTAAAACAAATGGCACATTGCTATGTGCTTCTTCAACTCATCTAATGAGCCGATCTGCACATCGCACAGGTCGCACTTGCCGGTCTGATTCGGGCGGCAGTTGGCCTCGTGCTCTTCGAGAGCGTCGAAGTAGCCACCGCAGCCGCGACAGGAGCGCCTGCCGTAAATCTGCGAGGCCGGCAGGCCGCTCGGCTCGCTGCAGCGAGATCTCATGTGCCGGCGCAACACTTCCGGCGTGTCGATGATCCGATCGCAGCCCGAGCACAGGTAGTGCATGCAGATGTTGCAGTGGGCGCAGTACTTGATGGTGGGTATCCAGGACTCGCCGGTCGGCCGCGAGATGAATCGACACTGGATGCAAAAGTGAAATACCGGCGCGCTACTCTCCCAATCGCTCGGATCTGTGGAAAGACCAATGTCACCGTGAGCACGAGAAGTTTCATTTGTGAAAGTCGCGTGAGTAATCGATTTTGTTATATTACCGTTGAACGAGGATCTTGAGGAGTCGTCGTCACTTTTGCGAAGTTTCGGGTCAGTGTCGCATCTTACCAACTCGATTTTCAGTGAACAAGATTCTAATTTAAATTAAAATGTAGTAAGAATTAGATGGGAATCGATTGAGATGAAAATGGATTTTATGTTGGTTAACTCACTGGCTTTTTGGATTTGTTGCTTTTTCACTACTTTTTTTACTCTCTTGTGAGATTTCAAGTCGCGAGCAAAACTTTCTTGCAACTTCTCAAATTCTGTATCTGTACCAATCGCAATATTTTCATATAAACTTAAATATTCAATAAAAACGTGTAAAAAATCGTTAAAAATAAAATAATCAAAACTCACCCGAATCATCTTTTTCGATATTTTTACCATCCACATCATCATCGTTGGTTTTATGCCCTGAAAAAAAGTATAGTAAAAATTAATATTTTAGTGTATGAAAAAAATTAGGAGCAAATTGTGTTTTTCAAGTGCGCGAAAGCGATAAGCGTTCGATAAACGTGAGTAAAGAAAAAAGAAGTGAAAAACGGATGTGACTCAAACATTTTACTTATACATATAGACTTTGTTCTGATAGAAGAGTTTAATGTCCTAATGCTAATAAAATTTGCTTGCTACCAATACCACAACGGCAATACATTTGAAAAAGGCATGTCAAATAACATAAAATATGAATTTTTATTAAAGTTTGTAATTTATTATACATAATAGGATCAAGCGATTTTACATTAATTATTACACTATATGTCATGAAACAAACATTAACATTTGTATTTTTTAATGTAATATATTAATTTTTCTTTGATAATATTTAAATATAATAATTATAATAAGCATATATTTACATTTTTTATTTAATGTAAAAATAATCTAGGAACTGGTACAAATAATAAATACTTAAATTAAGCTACAATGAAAGAATCATTCAAATGACCGTACATTAAGAGAAGTTTTGTTAGTGTTTTAGAATTATCAATTACCACACTTGCTGTCTGACTAGTGAACAGACCATTACCGGCATAAACATAATTTTGCGACTTATTCGAGCAGCTTAAAAGTTTGACTTTGAAGCAAATCGATGAAAATAAGGAACAACTTAAAAGTCGATACAATTTTTTCATTCACATCATGGTACTGTAACTCGTGTGCTTGAGCTTGACGTGCTGCACGAGCGATCCCTTGCGCGTGAACTTGCAGGCGCACTCGCTGCACTGGAAGCTCGGCTCGGAGTTGCAGCCGTAGCGCATGTGCTGTCGCAGGTGCTTCATCTCCTTGTAGAGTCGTCGGCAGCGCGGGCACGGGAAGCGCATCTCATCGTGGCAGATCCGGCAGATTCGCTTGGTCTTGCGCGCCACGTACTCCATTATGCTGTTGCAGGTCGAGCAGTACACCGTCAGGCTCGCATCTGCGAATTAGGGATAAGGCGACAATTAGAATCGAACATTTCTCGGCTTACTCGGAATCGTAATTTGCGCATCGAGCGCGTGTATATAACATTTGTTGCAAGTGACTTATGTGTAACGTTATGAGAGGCGTGTTACTGATACTTTTAGTTACACCTGAATTATTTACAATATATAATATATAATTGCTTTATGTTTACGTGTGTAGTTGTGGAATTTAATAAGATACATTATAATAGAAAACATGAAGTTTATAATATAGAGTTTATAATAGATAGCAAGTGACTAGTTCAAAATTTTAGAGTAAGAATTAGTCAGATTTTACATGTATTCTATTTCATTCGAGATCTATAAAAACTGTTTAATATCATTAACGAAATTAATGATTAGTATAAAACTGGAAAAAAATTAGATGAATAATGCTGACGAAAGATCTTTTGATTCATTGAGAAATGAAAAGAACGATGTAAACGTTTGGAAAATAATTTTTATTTTTCAATAAGTTTTCAATATTTCAATAAAAAAAAATCAGCACGTAATATTAAAAGAGCATGAATGAAAAAGACAAAATTAGAAAACTCAAAGTCAACACTGGCATGCAAAAATGGCAAAAATAAAATAATTAAATCTAAAATTGTTGTCCACAATCTCTGAGCATTGCAACTTAGTTAGCGGAATACTAGCATCGGACTTGCATATGATTGCTAAACACATCGTAACCTACTTCATTGACAAAACGTTCATTGCAGCAAGAAATGCTGGCCCATTACAGTCAATTAGCAAATTTTGTTCACGATTTTCTTCGCACAAGGGGCATCTAAAATTCATAGCTATTTATAGAATTTTTGTCCTCCGAATAGATTTTATAACCTATTTTACAAAACTTTTGTAAACATTCGTCCCAATTTTGTTCTGTCCCCTTATTCAGAGAAAATTTGAATGTTTCTATATTTTTAGTTCGTCTGTATACTTCATTAAGGGTTAAATCTGAGTAAGAATGATTTATTTGATTATCTGTTTGACACACATGTCTCCTATTTTGTACAGTTCTCACGTTTGATGTTGAATGATTCTAAATAGTGATATTTGATGTTTGAATAAAAAAAAACGAAAATATCTATGAATCCATATTTACAATCAAAACATCAGATATAATCATGGCATTTCGATTTTAATGTAATTCAATAGAGCTGACCATTTATTTTTTATTTCCTGCAACAAAAAATAGAGGTAATTTTTCATAAGTTCCAAAAAGTTCAAGATTTCCAGACGTATGTAAAAAATTAATGATAATTAATTGAATTTTGTCATGACGGAAAATGAATTTAAAAAAATTATTTAGTCAACTATTAAAGTTGTTTGTTTCAATATTTATTTATTCTTTCCAAAATGTACAATTCATTGAACTATTTCATTAATAGTATATTACTCCCCTGAGCCACGAACAACAGAAAAGTTCCAGTTCCCAAGTTGCTTCGAACGCTAATTACATGAGCCCTGGGACTTTTCTGTTTCTCACGGGTTAAGCCTGAATTTTTACATACTCACTGTCCCGAAAATAGCAGTTATCCCCTTCCCTATAGAAGGAAAGTAGTGAATTTTGGGCCACTGGTATGAAAAATATAATTCTACTCTATTCGTATAATTCACTAGATTTTCATTAGGTACACAGAACATCGGATTCATTTTTTATATGGTTTAATAATCACCATAAAATTTAAAAAATTGTATAATCAATTTAAAAAGTATCATTAAAATACTAAACCACCATTTAACAGCAGTTAACCCAGCAATAATTCATTTCTGATCAATTCAAAAAAAATTATGTATTAAAATAGCTCAAGTTGTATGTTATCTCTGGATCGTGTTAAGAGCACAATTTCGATGACCTTTTTTAAAATGGATTAACTATGTCAAGGTTGATTTAGCATGCAAAAAATGAAACTGTACAATAAATTCACCAGAAATAAGTATCAAAATAAAAAACATCAACATCATAATCAGCAATAACCGCTCAGATGCATACATATATTTAAGTAGTGAAATGGCTGTGGTACATACACAATTTAAACATTAAAATTGCTGTTTTTCGTAAAATAATCGAAAAAGCGACGTGGTAAATATATTGCTGTTTACTGCTTTACAAGATATAGAATTATCAAAATGGACATTATTAAATAAAAATTTCTGATCACAAGGATTGATTTTTATTTTTAAAATTCAATAAATTAATTTTTAAAAATTTTAATATGGGTTTATTGTGATTGCATCTTAAAAATTGATGAAAAGATGTCGAAGTTGTTTCATTCAATAGTATAAATTACTGCGGTTGATGGAATCCTGTTCCGGAAAACATTGTCATTTGTTGCATCAAAGCTTCATTTACGACTGGGTCAATCGACGGTATGTGAGGTGGGATTGGATTGATTTGTACTGAACCGTTGAAAATAAGAGCCTTTTTTTTGCGGCAGCTTGCTCCAGGTGGAGCCCTTTTGCATGATTTTTTCAAATGTCGATTCAAGGTCATCTGATTTTTTAATGGTTTCTCGCAATGAGGGCAAGCTACTTTATAATTACTTCCATGAACCCGTTGCTTGTGATCTTCTAAGTTACATTTAGAATGACTCTTATAAGGGCACAGATCACATGGGTAATTTGGATTTCCCCCACACCAATCTCTTTGGTGATTTTGAAGTCCAGCTAATTCGAGGTATAATTTGTTGCATCGGCGACATTTAAACTTATAATTAGTGGAACACTTCGGACATGCCCTATGTCCTGATCCTCTTTCATATTGAACGGTTGTATTGCATTCAGGACAATACATTAAACGGTCGTCATCCACCTGTTTTTTCCTTTCGTTTTCTTCAACTATATTACAAATTGAAAGTTTAAACATAATTTTATTGTAACTGTGCATTTTTTATTCTAAATTTTTTCAAATTTTACCTGTAGTTTCTGGGTAGGTTTCGAGTGTAGGGACACACCATAGACTTGCATCCATAGGAGGTATTAAATTGAACCTTAAGGTATCTAAAAAAGCCAGAAATAATAAAAATATTAGTAAAATATATTTGAAAAATAAACAACATCGATATTGGATCTTGATGGAAGAAAATATATCAATTTATTTTCCTACACCAAAACAAAAAGTACGATTGTTTTTTGATAAACAAGAAAAATGAAATTAACCGTCATTGCAACTGATCTGAAATTAAGACTATTTCGCCGCTGCTTATTAATAAAAACACAGTGAAAAACGCTACGAAAAAAAAACCTTTTTATAAAATGCCGTGAAAAAAACACATCCGTGGTCGGATGCCGCGAAGAAAAACACATCCCAACGAATGACGATTTAACGAATCACATAGAAAATATCTTGGTCTTTCCGAAAGGTGTTTTTCTTCACGACATTTCAATAAGGAGTGTTTTTCACAGCGTTTCAATGAAGTGTGTTTTTCTTCACGGTATTTCGTTAAAGTGAGTTTTTACTCATAAGTAGTGGCGATTTATAAAAAAGCAAGTTAGTAAAATAAGTTAGTATCACACTTCAAACTTTAACACGCTTTAGATGAAAAAAAAAAGAAAAAGAAAAAAAAGTTTTTTTTTGAAAGTTATGAGATTCAAACATCAATCTATGTGTCTCTATCTTCTCAGTTTTAGCATAAAACAACTTTTTGTACAAGATGCTAAACACATGTTGCACAAGAAATTGTATAAATAATATTTTAGGGGCTTAAAATGATCTGACTCTTTTATTAAAACATTATATCATCATAATTAACTTTATTAATTGTTATAACTTATAAAAAAGCTATTTTAAACAACTAGATCGTCAAATTTTTGTATAATTTCTATATTTTCTTTTTTTTCATCAGATGTATCTTACTTCTATTATATTTTAGTCGCACCATCAAAATTTTAAAAGTCGAGTTTGGATCCAGCTGCAAAAAAAATATAAACTCGGTTAGTAATGCCATTTAATTAAACATATTTAAAAATTGAATTCTTGTTACAATTGAAATTAATTGTCTTGATAGGTTCTTACATTAATTGCCCTTGAAATATTAAATATAAAAAGACTATGTGCTTTACCGACGTCAAAAGTTCTTTTTACCGACTTTAGTTATGTACCATTGAACAAGCAGGCTGCAGAAAAAATAAGGTAAATATTTTTCTAGCGAATACTCCACACATGCCATTCTTCAATCTTTTAAAGCCTAAAACAAAATAATGAAACAGTTATTATGCTATATAAAAGTTATAATAAAGAGAATGAATGCTTGTAGTTCATTGAGTGTTAAATTTATAAATAAAATGTTACGTAAATTGGGCTTGAATTTCTTTTAGAGGCATTCGAGCTCGAAGTCAAGTGCAAAACGCCCTCGAGTTCTGTCGACTTCAAACTGAGATTTTTGCCAAGCGCTAAATTGGCATAACTCAATTATAACGCTAACAACAAAGTCTGCAGCCATATCATAAACAGACTCAAAAGAACTCGAGCGCGAATCGTTGATAATGAAACAAGCTCAGCAAGACTCAGATGCAATACGTTCTCAAATTCGAGCACGTAACATGTTCAAACGTTTTTCAATGCAAAGGTCCTATTCTGGTCTGGAGCAGGAAAAAAAATAAAAAATGTACAAATAGGTTGAAAAACAATATTCGGTCGTAAGGATCTCAATCTTCCACGAAAACCTGCTCAGATAATGTTCAGCCCCCGAATCTCTAAGTCCAGCAGAGGCTGGTGCCGTGATCCAGGAGCGTCACGGGGTAAGAAGTGCAGACAATCGACAAAATAATCGGGCCACCCGCTGAAAAGCAAGTACATCAAACAAGCAATGAGACGCTTGAGCTTTAATGGATATATATTTTTGTAAAGATTTTTTTTGTCGCTCTTGATACATGAAAATGATCATTTTTTTTTCAATTTTCTTTTTTATTCTTTCTAATTATTATACATTAATTCGTATACCGTACTTAGAGTACGATTTTTATAAAA